TTAATTGGCTTTAAAAATAAATGAAATGATAAACCGATATTGATATAAATGTACATTATGATAAGGAAATATTATGTTTTCAAAATGAAATGAAATAAAAAACTTTTATAGGAGTGTGATCAAAGTGCTTGGTTAAACTAAAACTATTTAATCAGGAAATAGAAGTTGACCGGTCATTCAGCTCTAAGAGTATTTGCTTTTAAGGGAGAACGTATACGTCTTGTACTGTAATGTTACTTCATTTAACGAACTGAACTTTTCTACTCACATATCATTACAACAATAAAGCGATAAATGTTCATGTATATGTGGCTGACTTTAAAAACATGAGTAACTTTATCAAGAGTACCGGTTGCTTGTTTGTTGTAAATACATGTGTAACAACATTTTTTTTTAGAATTTGGTGTCTTACTTTGAACTCTATACTTATCATAAAAAATCCAAATTTGTATTTCCTTGAGAGAAGGAACGGCAAAATAAGGTGAGGTTATCGAAGCATTTGCACTTTAATATTCCTATAACAAGAGATAAACCGAAAATTGACACGTAGTCAAGATCAATAAAATAATGTTGCTGATATTTGATTGAGGTATGGTTAATAGCCAGGGAAAATAATCCCCATCAATGTGTTTGATTTCATTAGAGATAGCAAAGTCATTATATCAAGATAAAACGTGTCCCTTAATTATAAATCTTATTTATAAGCTAACAGTAAATCGTACCGAACAATATCTTAAATGAGTATATGATGTTGGATATTTCATCTTAATTAGATTTACAAAAAAGAAATATTAACTACAATGAATCATGTTTTGGTTTTACAAATCAAATACCAAATGTTCATCGAAAAAACACCTTTAAAACAAAAACATTTTTCTATAATCTGTTTAAGCGATATTGTTAACATACTGGTAATGTTGCTTATTAATGACTTAAAACAGAAATTTCACTAAAGATCAGTAGAAGTGAAGCTGATTTTTAATTACAGCCATATTTTGCCAGACCATATGCAACACGATCTGTATCACAAATGGAAGAAATTAAAAAAAAATTGTGAAACACTTGTATACTTTAAATGAACTTGAACAATTTCTGAGAACATCCTACGATCAAACACATATTACTATTGGATTATATTTTGAAATGTTCATCGTATATACATCATTTGCTGAGGGTTCATTTAATGCACTGTCATTTTATGTAACTGTATTCATAGTTTTATAACATTTATTATTTTACCCATAAAGTTTGTTTTTTGTCATATTCTTAAATAAAGCAATTAAAGTTTTAAACGTTGCAAGTTCCAAATGCTTGGCGAACAACATATAAACTTTTTTTTATCATGTTTAGTTTTTTTAGTAGCTTCAAAAAAGAACCAAGTTCGTTTATGTTTCTTCCAACGGAATCGCCGGATAAAATTGTTTAATCGCCAGATAAAATCGTTTAACTTGTTTGGAAGCTTTTGTAAAAGCGCGCAAACAATAACCTCAATTGTTAATAAAAATTAAAATAACAACTAAAGTATCATTTAGAAAAAATAAAATGTGCTGAACAATGAAAAACAAAACATCACGCAGCTGCTCATGCGTGATTAACCTCAATGTTTAATGATCTTACAGATAAAACCAAGAGCACTATTTCCTTGACATCAGCACATAATTAACGAGATGATAATGACAATAAAGCGCCGTTCACACGTACGGTACAATACTCCTAATCCCAAGTCTAAAGTCGTATTCCTGCATCTTTGTAATGTGCAAATTGAATCTGTGCATTCACTAGATCTGGATTGAATTGTTTTAAGAGATAACTTTAAAAGTTGAGCCATTCCATAATAATCCCATCATAATTAGATTAAAAAATTATATTTTAAATTCTTGCATAGAGTATATGCTCTTAAAGCGGAAATATGCAAAGGTTAAATAAAAAAAAATATATGAATTCTAAGTTCAATGTTGTTAGAAAGCCTTTAAAACCTCTTTCATGTTTCGGTCATTTTGTAATACAAACGATTATTCTGGAAAAAACGGCGTGGTCGAATTAACTCAAATTGTGCAGACAAGTTATTGGTTCAGACCAATATTGAATGTTACACAAATCTCGGATGACATTTCAAATACTATCATGTCAAGAAATCCCAGTGGAGTCCCTTTAAGTTTGACAATAATGTCAAGACTTGTTGCGATATGCGTCAAAGTGCGGTTAGAAATAATATAATTACATAAGTACATCATTTCTAAATCAAACATTCTAAAAAAGGAAAGTGTTCAATTGAATATTTAACAAGTACATCAGTCTCACTTTAGATGATATAACCTCTTTAAATTGACGCTTACATTTTCTGCCGGATAGTTTAATAATTTTTACATAATATCCCGTCAGCAGTCAATCTAATTCAAGATTTTTCGATAGACATCAAATTGAGGCTTTGAGTGTCCGCTTCTTATCGCAATAAGCAATTGCCTTACAGATAACGAACCAAAAAAAGTGGCTTTACTTTTCTTTTTATCTTCCTGGTCATCACACTGATCGATAAACTAGGACATCACTTTTTTATAAATTTAAATGAATTGTCTGTTTGATCGATCTTTGGCGAAACGGACGATTTTTCTAATTCGGAAAAAATAAATACTTTAGAAAATGTCAAATTCTTCTTTCCATTTGTTAGAATTCATATTTGTATGCAAACATTTGATTTATTTGTTTTCAAAGCAAAGATTAAATCACGATCATAAATTCGCATTTCATGTATTGTATTTTAGAAATAAAAGAGTTTTAGAAATGCGTAATTTCAAAAGAACAATAACAAAAACAGCTGATAACAAAACATGTCATTAAAAAATCGATGTCAGTAGCATTTCAAAATAATAGGATGATTGGACGGCAACTTTCAATATATTGCCTCTGCGAAAGACAAAAGCTAAGTCAAGAAAATTTTGCAATTAGAGTTGCAATTATATAAAAATAAGTTATTTAGTGATAATAATATATCATTAAATGTAAAATAATGCTTTGACATATTTCGTAGATTAATAAAATATAGTTATGAGAAATTTTGTATTCACATATAACAGACTGGTGTGCATCAAACTTTGCTGTTTTCATTTCTAGAATTCATACTGGTACCTCTGATTTAATATTAAAATAAAATATAATTAATTTATAATTTAAGTCATCAACTGATTACATTTAAACATTATCTATTTTGCCGCATTTGTGATGCAAACTTAATGCCCTTTGAACCAGTCCTGAGTCGGGTTTCGTAGAACTATAACATATATTTATGTCATGTGAGGTATCCATTAAGGTTAGAACAATTCTGCTTATATAAAACACTAACACATATGCGTTTCACTAATGTGTAGCTTGCCAACACGATAGAAAACAATGAGGGGAACCAAACACATGGTTAAGATATTCAATACAAAAAGTGTTTTCAATCATAACCGTGTTAGTGCATTTATTCCATATACATGTATATAAATTTCAAAATGCCTTTCAGCATCAGTTGACGAGTCATTGTCAAATAATGTTAAATAGGAAATATACATTTAAACCTGTGCATACTGTGTTTCCTTTAAGTATAAGTCAGATTAACAATAAATAAATATATGTCCTTAATTATTTTATACAAGTTTTGCATATAAAATAGTTTGATCTTTACTTAAAGAGATTTTCTCTCCATATTTTTCCTTATTACATTCTCGTCTATGAATAATTGCTTATTCCATCAACCGGATACCTCCTAGAGATTATCTCTTTATCAGTAAGCTGATAATGGATTTTCGATGACAAGATCCAATTAGATTACAAATTTTGTAATGGATTTATGTTCTGATATGTAACCATTGCTAGGCACAATCTGCGCAATCAAATTATTTGGTGAAAGGTTCTGAATAATAAACACGGCAATTGTAAAGGGATTTCTGTTTAACATTCAATTTTTGCTAATTAATAGACTGAGAGAAAAGTGATAAAAACGGCAAAGGATATCTGTTTTAATATTTCACAGCATTTCTTACACAGTATTATTACTATAGTGTTAAAATTTATTTTATTTAGTCTTTTTTATTTAGTAAACATAATTTATTTTTACCATTCAATTTATAAATACTACAGTATCAAATTAAGCATGTCTACAACAAACAGAAATTCAGATAAAACTTTTATTGAAAACGAAATAAAAGTAAAATGCATGTCAACATGAAATTTTCGAGAAGCATAGTATAGAATGCAAATGAAGATAATCCATTTACAATCATATTCATAACTATAAAATAGAAAAGACGAACACATTTTTTATAAAAATGATAAAAGAAAACAATATCAGTGAATGTTTGTCTCAACATAATTTAAGTTTTTAATTGGAAACGTCAATGATATTTTTAATTTCGACAGCAAAGTTATCTTCCCAAAATTTGCAATTTTTTAATGGACTTGTCAATCTTCCTTTTCTCAACCAGCGAATATCAGTTTTGGGGATATCGAAATTACATGTCCAGCCAACAATATACAGCTTTTGTCAGATTGCATATGTAGGCTTTTCCGACTCTTTACAAGTGGTTGGCAATTTCTTTTTCAAATTCAGCTCTAGCAGGTGAAGTGTTATGACACATTGACATATTTTTTGTCATTGAAAATATAAACGTACTGAAATTTCTAAAATGCTTACGATTATTTCTAATTAAAACAATTATATTCTTATTTTGTTTAAACAATTCAATAACACATAATGTTTAACATTCAACATTAAGAGATAGATATTTTTATTTTAATTCATACTTTATTCTCTGACTCTTGATTGTTCGAACGAAAATTTTTTAATTAAATATGATTAAATTTAAATGACTTGAAAGGGTCTATTGCTTTGTTTTTTTGTTGTTTTTTTTTTAAATTTATTTTTAATCATTTTTAATATAAACACTGAACGAAAATTATCAAACTATTTCAATATTCTTTATTTATTTAAATAATAATTAAAACTGTTTATTTTCTTTTACCTTTAAAATGCGTCCATATACATTTTTTTTACTTATCTCCAACTAAGGTAAGTCCGCAAAACTGCATCAAAACATGTAAAGTAAAATTGTTTTCTCTGATAGCAGCTAGATGTCGCATGCGGCATTATATATGGCAACGATTGTTGCATGGAAAACCAATATTGAACATCTCCGGACAATACTTAGGAGAAAACAGATATTTGTCATTGGCAAAACAGCTTTTTTATCTGGGAAATAAACCCTCTATCGATGTGGAATAATCCACTCGTCTCTAATTTTCAGTTTTACTCTCTGGAAGAGTAAATGAACAGCCTGAAAGCAAATAAAATGAAATTACTTTGGACATTTTGATGAAGGTCAAAGAACCGAATACAATTTTGATCGATTATCTTTATTTCATTGACTCGGTTTTGTTTCTGTACTATAAGCAGTTATAATAAAAATGACTTCCTTGTCCATTTGTTTGTTTTTGTATTGTTGTTTTTTTTATTTTCATTATTACAAGATATCAGATGAAATCAAATTAAAAACCAGTCTGTTTTAAGTTTCGATCGGTGAAATGTAACTTTATTTGGGGAGATGATCTGAAAAAAAATTGTTTTCATGGGTATCTACAGGGGTACATGTATTGGTTCATTTGCATCAGCAAGTAAATTGTCTCTTTATTATACAACTTTTTTAGTGCCGGTAAAATTATTTGCTGAAAAGTAAAAGCAACAAAAAAAGGTTACGCGAAATAAGGTAAATTGACACACTATTTGCGCATTACATTTTCGTGTCGAATTGTGTGACTTTATAGCTTAATTCCGTTCTTGCAAAGTTTTTAATCACTTTTTAAGAGACGGAATGACGGATCTTTTTGAAAGATTTTTATTCTAAATATTTTTTTTTTTCAAACAAATAAAAATTCACGATAATAGCCCCATTTCAACAATGTCTTCAATAAGTGTGTACGAAAAACAAGCTGACTTATGAATACCGCTTGACATGTACAATTATCAAATTCCTAAAATATATATAACAGCCCACGTATTTGGCACACTATATTTAACAAGTTTGTTATGATGACTTTTAGTTAAATTGTGTTGCAATTAAGAACATAATTGATAATCTGGGAAGAAAACATAAAAATTATATTGCTGGGTGACGTACTGTTAACACTATGATTAAAATGGCTCTTCGGTCAATGACAGTCAACCAATAAATTTAATTGCAGGATTGAGGATAAACCCACTTAAATATATTTATATTTTCTTGCACGTCATTCCTACTCCCAATAAATTAGCGGCTAGATCGTGTCTGTATTATATGACAAAATGAAGATATCTGAGTTAATTAAACTTATAGTTTATGATATGTATAGGATATCGACCGAGTACGAGGTCTTACTGTTTAGGAGAGACCTGGTCACAAATTTCATGTGACACCGAGAGCGCGCAGCGCTCGAGGTGTTTCATGAAATAAGTGACCAGGTCTTTCCTAAACAGAAAGATCGATGTACGAGGCCGATATCCAACTTACACACCGTAAAACTGTATTGGCTCGAGCAATGGCTGATTCGAAACATTTGATGTAATGCACAAATATTATTTTTAACGCAACGCATTAACAGGTAAGCTTTTATCAACGTTCTGCTTTTGAAAACAACATTTATTTTGCATTTAACTTTGATTTTCCCTTTAAAGTAGCCCTAATAATCAAAAAAGCTAAATGTGCGATTTGTCAATAATAAATTGGTCTGTAATGGAAGGTATGTTAAAGAATGAATAATTATGTTGATAGTATTTCGTATCAGACGATGCAGATTCTAGGATATTTGCCCATGGACAGTTGTCACCCCCACCCGCGGACGTTTGCCTTTTTTTTGCTGTATTTGCTGTATACTTCAAAAACACCGAGATACCAATTATTTGCTATAAATATAAGAAACCTGTTAGAAATATCATATTTAATTACAACAAAGTGGTTTCTGACTTAGATATTCAGTCTAATACTCCAACAACTTGAGACTGCAATACTTCTAAATTCTGTAATTCAGATTTTGGCCATATAATCACTGGTAATTTTGATATAATTGCAGACAAAAGAATTCGTAACTTATTCTTGAAAGGACCTAAATACAGAATTCCTTCTGAAATTGATTTTAATGCTTGTCGTGGTCAGATTGCTGAATCTATAGAGGATTTTTCGGTCAAATGGTGTCGCCGTGAAAATGCGGATAGTAATGCTCTAGTTACATGGAAACGTAACATCTTTAAAATTATTGATTCACGTATTAATTTTTATCGTGGAAATGAACATCTTTTGCCACCTAAAACAAGACTTACTTTAAGACATCTGAAGAAAGATATTCTAGCTTTTCATTCTAAATTTGTTTTGGTGCCAGCGGACAAGGCGGCTGATAATATTATAATTGTATGACGAATCCATTACATTAACGTTTTGCATAAGGAACTTAATAGTACTAATGCGTATTCTAAAACCTCTGCCTCCGAAAAAAACATTGTAAACAATCATATTACTAATATTTCAAATCTTAAAGTACAAATTAATGAAAAAGAACTTAAACTTCCTATTATGTATTGGATTCCTAAATTACATAAAAAACCTTACAAAGCTAGATTCATTGCTAATTCTACATCTTGCACTACAAGTAAACTTTCCATTTTATTGACGTCTTGTTTGACTGCCATTAAAACACATGTAATTAGATATTGTGATAAAGTCTATGAAAACACAGGCAAACATCTCTTTTGGTCAATTAAAAATTCTGGTGAAATCTTGGATAAATTCAAAATTAAGAACTTTCAAGCTTCAACTGTCAGTACATACGATTTTTCTACACTTTATACAACTTTGCCACATAAATTAATCAATGATAAACTAATTTCCCTAATTCAGAAAACTTTTGCACGGGAAAAAGTTACCTTTCTAGCATGTAATTCTAACAAAGCTTTTTTTACTAACGGTATTGTAAAACATTATACTATGTGGACCTGTGACGAAGTTTGTAGAGCACTCTCTTTTCTTTTAGACAACATTTATGTCAGGTTTGGTAATACCCTATTTAAACAGATCATAGGAATTCCTATGGGTACTAATTGTGCACCCCTGGTCGCCGATTTGTTTTTGTACTGCTATGAAAGAGACTTTATGTTGAGTCTCTCTGAAGATAAACAACAAGATATTATAGTCGCATTTAATAATACTTCCAGATACCTTGATGATATTTTTAATTTAGATAATCCTTATTTTGATCAAATGGTGTCTGACATATATCCGCATGAACTACAACTTAATAAAACGAACTCTTCAAATTTTAGTACATCATTTTTGGATCTTCATATTACTATCAACAACAATTCTATTCACACGAAAATCTATGATAAAAGAGATGACTTTGACTTTTGTATAGTTAATTATCCACATTTAGATGGAGACGTACCCCATGCAACATCTTACGGGGTTTATGTTTCCCAGTTAATTAGATTCGCTAGAGCTTGTAGCAACGTAAAGGATTTCAACGAGCGGAACATTTTTATTACCACCAAACTTCTAAAACAGGGCTACCGCTATCATAAATTACGGAAATATTTTACTAAATTTTACAATCGTAACTTTGATTTAATTTCCAAATTCAATAGTGATTTAAAAACTCTTCTGCGACAAGGGATTAGCCAGCCTGGTTTTTATGGCGATGTGATTTACAAACTTCGTAAGATTTTGGGTCATGGTAATTTTTCTGCTGTTTTTACTAAAATCATTAAACGTTTTATTAAAAGAGGTTATGACCCTACTATTTTAAGACATACTGCATGTTTAGTGTTCAACCCTTTTACAGTTGGACACTACGCTTTCCTCTTTTGATTGCATCTGACGGACCAAGTGGGAGACTCTATGATGGATAGTTCGTAAAGCCCTTTGGGACTGAATTGTCTTAATGTTCGTCTTCTGCCTTGCTTCGTCGGGCCCTTGTAGGTGATTTTCTTGTTGCTCTGTCTTCCTTTAGGACATTGAGTACTTTTGTTATGGTCATTGGGTTTACTTTTATATGTTTCTACATGATCATTTTAGTGTTTTACTTATTTAACCTTTTGTAACCATAACAACTGTTAGAATTTCACTTGGCGGGGATTCATTTTATTTACACTGTCTCGTTTATAGGAACATGGTGGGGCTAAGAGCGAGGTTTGGTGCACCATTAACCGGTTTAAACTCCCCAGCAGTCATTATTATGCTGCTGACCGTTCCAAGGCGGCGCCCCACTGTGTTCCTCAGATGTATGTCTTATGTTGTTTCATACTGTTTTGGTGACACTTGCTTGTGTCCCTTGTTGTTTTCTCGTCTACGGTAAGTATCTTCCCCATTGCCTCTAGTTTTTATTTCTTTGATTACTCCCCACCCCCTCCCCCCCGGTCTCCTGTCCCCTTCCCCTTTGTGGGCCTATTTTTATTTTATTTTCTTTAAATTCCTAATCAGTTACAAATTAATTATCATTTAATGATTAACCTGTCCGTGCTCTGTCTTTGCCCTGTCCTGTTTTTGTTTGGGGTCCCCCTGGGCTCCTTGCCATTGGTTCTTGTTGCTGGGTCATGTGGGGGTTGCGTTCATTGAACGCCGCATTTCCTTGTTGATCTTGTTTATCATATTTTTTACTTGTCACTTGTCAGAGGTCATCTCATGTATAGCATTTTTGTATGCCAATGGAAACATTCTAGTTCATTTATTTATGGATGCTATTTTGACGATGCATAGGCAATGAATATTGGTAGCAAACAATTTAACAATAAGATATATTAACATTTTTAAAACAGGGAGGGGGCAAATGTCCGCCCCTTCCAAAGATATGAGGGGGCAAGTGACCGCCACTGCAAAAAGGGGGCAAACTTCCGAGGTGGCAACTGTCCGAAGGGCAATGTCCGGAAACCCAGCAGACCACGAAAGACTTACATAATTATGTATATTGTTGGCAAGTGTGAGATACATGAACCGAAACTATTTTTAATAAAGCAGATTATAAAGTGTTCTAGAATAAAATATGATAGTTCGTCATATTTTTTTTTATACTGAATCACTTATAACTTTATTAACATTTTAAAATCGTAATAAGTATCCTGTGATTACTGCTATATAGTTTCAT